CATTCCATTGTTTCGATATCTTATAACTGCAAAATTTGTTGAGTTTCTTGATCCATATCCAGCATAGTCTTGTAATCTCAGAAGTTGAAGATGCAGTTGTTCATCGTGGAGTATTTGATGGGGATTTTCTGCTGACTCCATTGAAGGTACTTGTTAAATGGGAGTTTTATTTTGTGTTCGTAGTTTTGGATGTTTGGTAGGGCTTGTCCATTTTGTGGGTGTTCTAAATTTGGTGTGATGAAATTGTGTATGTTGNCCCTCAAATTCACTATCACCAGGTCCGCGGATGGCGAATTGCCATTCAAATATATTATCCTGAAAAACCAACATTAGCCTTAGAATCAACAGAAAGATGTTCGACAGAAGCCTTAAATTCTAAAGTAATTAAGAAAATAAAATTATGCAGATAATACCAGAACTGGTGTTCATTTTTTTTTCCTTTTTCCAGATGCAATTATGTCGATACAATTATGAGAATACCATATGATGCATGACGACATATGCAAATTCTGGACCCAGTCGAGATACCTACGCAATTATTAACATAACTAGAGAGAGCAAGGGTTTAAAACAAATTACTGCCCCAATTTTTCAATTTTCAGCTGTCCAAAAATTTCCAAACATTCAAAACTGGAATGAAATGCACAAAAACTCGTTAATATTTCCATTTTCATCCTTAGAACCCTAGAAATTCATATGCAAGCAACGGCAGACACCAGCAGATTTGAACTATAAAATAACGTCAAATTAATACTTAAATTCAACCACAAGAACACGCGCATCAGACCATTCGAATAGTCGGAAACAATCATAGTGAATCAATTCATTCAACAAAAATACGAAAAACCATTAAAATGTAAACAGAACAAAAAAAAAAAAAAAAAAAAAACCGCTAGGGTAAGTTTCAAAATAGACATGGAAATCCAGGGAAATTCAAAAGCAACGAACCTCGAGAGGCAGACTCATGAAATCATCAGAAGGATTAGCCTGCATCTCCTTGACCTCCCGAAGGATCCTCTTCACCGCAGGGTTCTTCAAATTGTACTTATCCTCCGCCATATCTTTTCAAATAACTCGCAGATCCGATCCGACTGCAACCGCCACCCGATCACGAGACGAAAAATTATCCGATCGAGAACGGTGAAAAAAAAAAACTCAACCCAAAACCAGACGAGAGGATTTGAATCGAAATCAAAGCCAATCCGTAGAGATTGAACGGGAACAGCAATTTATTGGCACAAAGGAAGGGGAGCGAAAGAACAAAAGTCGGCTATTAACACGCCACGTCATTTTTTGCTTGTTCGTTGACGTGTCTTCCATTTATTGGCTCGTGAAAAGTAACTAGTTTGTTTTCTTTTTTCAGTTAAATTAACAAATTATGGCTAATTTATATATCTATAATTGAACCTAACTTAATGGCAATTAAAACGTATTTATCTATATTTATATTTATTGTTTAATTTTTTTTAAATGATATGTAATTCAAATATTTAATATTGCAACGTTTATGAAAGTTTGAGGCCAAACTCGTAAATTTTATAAATAAACAATAATTTTTTTCTCTAATATTAAGAATATATGTGATGGTATAATTATTATTAGTTATAAAATATCAGTTAATATTTTTTTTCCGTGTTTTTAGGAGTAGGTTAATAATATATTTTATTTTATTGTTAGCGTATATTTCATCTTATTTTAAAATTTTAGTTAATAATATATTTTATATTATTTTCGAGATTTATTTAGTAATATATTTTATTTTATTTTTAAGAATTAGTCGATAGCTTGTATATTTAAACGAACATTAATGTCATTTTTATTTGAAATTTATGAAGATGGTACAATATCATTAAAGGCTCAGGACTATGTTAGACCATTTATAAGCTGAAATTTATATGGGTAAAAAAATTTAAAGCCTAAGTTAAAATTGTAACACTTATTAAAGTTTGAGGGTACAATTTGGTATAATTTACAGTTTATGGTAAAAATTTTAAGGTGAATTTTGATTTTTTTTTATCTTTAATTAAAAACAAGTAATTTATGTAATTATTTTTGAATTCAAGAAAATATTAGATAAAAGAAAATTGGATTAAGGGTTTTTTAAACCAAAGCCTCCCTACATAAACCCTAATTACATTTAGGGAAATTAAAACATTTATTTCATAAAGTGGGGGCAAAATTAGATAATTTAAAATTTCGCGGGTATTCGTTGCAAAAATAAAATATTTCGATATTTTTTATGTTTGGCTAATGCCCTGGTCACTAAAACGGCGTCGTTCTTTCACACAGAGTGAAAACGGCGTCGGATTTGCCGTGGTGGACTGCCTCAAAAATTTATGTATTGCGCATTTTAAAAATATTTGCTTCAAAACGCATCGTTCGATTCTATTTTCTCAGCCCATTTCTTTCTTAATCGTTTCGCTGTTGTTGTATTGCTCTTCTTCTTGTAGACTGAAAAAAGAAGAATTACAGAAATTCCCCATGAAAATTTCGGAGCTCCTTCCAAGAATCTAAACCTATAATCTTCATCCTCGGCCACACTTTGTTAGTTTCCATTCCATTGTTTCGATATCTTATAACTGCAAAATTTGTTGAGTTTCTTGATCCATATCCAGCATAGTCTTGTAATCTCAGAAGTTGAAGATGCAGTTGTTCATCGTGGAGTATTTGATGGGGATTTGCTGCTGACTCCATTGAAGGTACTTGTTAAATGGGAGTTTTATTTTGTGTTCGTAGTTTTGGATGTTTGGTAGGGCTTGTCCATTTTGTGGGTGTTCTAAATTTGGTGTGATGAAATTGTGTATGTTGCTTCTGTAGTTCAATTGTATTCTGGGAGTTTCAATGAAACTGAATTGGAGTTATTCGTAATGAACAGAGATGCATTGTGAATTTTGAGAGGTCAGGATTTCATAGGTGCAGAAGAGAATTTCTGACTTTCTGCTACTCCCCATCTGGATGAATTCTGTGGCTCCTTCAGTTCAATAGGTCTGGGATTTTTCGATTTATTACTTTGGTCTGCGGTTCTCTGTGGCTTAGGGTCAGAATATAATTCATGTTCACTTTGTCTTTGGCGTTTCTTTGTGTACTTCGTGATATTTATGAGCATTCAGCCGTGTTATACTATTGCTGCATTAGTATCTGTTCTTCTTTCTTCAAGAGCTTTGGATTGGCTTGGATCATTTGGGAGGGAACTGGAGGACATGGCTCGGGAGGGGCAGTTTTTCTTAACTCACTCAAGTATTTTTCATTGGTTTGCTTGAGTGGGACATGGCTTGAGGGAGGGTTTTGCTGAATATCCCTAACTTCAGCTGGGAAAGAGGAGCACTTTGAGGGATATGGGTCGGGGGAGGAAATTCATCTGTGTATGACCGTGATTATGAGAACCAAAGTAAATTACAGGTCAGAGAGGGAGAATTTATAGAGGAAGAGGTTTGAAGTTGGAGTGTATAGATGAAGAGGTGGGAAGTTGGACCTTAAGAGAGTATATGTCATCTGGTTTGTTTTGGTTTTCTTATTTCAATTTGTTCAAAAGACGGAATAACCCCTTGGTATATCTAGATGATCACTTGAGAGTTCTTTAGGTAGAGGATCAACCGCGAGGATGAAGAAATATTCTTCGTTTCAAAGTCATGGAACTTCTAGATAATTTGAGAGCTTCAAGACCTAACAGAATTTTCTGTCTCTTCTAATATTTGTAGTTTGTTCTTCGTTTGGGTGCTTTGTTCTTCTTTAGCTTCTTTAGAAGTTTGTATAGGTTGGATTTCTTTTTAGATTTTTGTAATATGGATTGTGTATTATGTATATATTCCTTATTTATATTTGTAATATTTCTATCCTTATTGGTTGGTCTTTCTTCTATATAAGATGACCTCGTATTTGTTTCACGAGTAAGAAGAAATCAAAAGTATTAATTTTATTCCCTAAATTCAAGTTTGTCTCTAAGCATATTTTTATCTTTTCATTTATCAATGGATTGTCTATTCTTGTCAAATTGAGTATCACACAACTAACATAAAACACATGTCTTCGACTAAAAGGTCAAATACTCGAATTCCCACCCTACTTATTGTTGAACTCAATGAATAGTTTGTTCTTGTTTTAAAAAAATGAAATAGATGGAAGATCAAGCCAATTGAAAGATATTCAGTCCTCTTTTCCTTGTAATATTTATCTTGCTAATATAACTATTATTCCTTTAACAAATGTGTTTCAAAGTGTTATTTACTTTGAAATTGTTGATCTGGCCAATTATTTGTATTTGAGTAACAAATGTGTTTCAAAGTGTTATTTACTTTGAAATTGTTGATCTGGCCAATTATTTGTATTTGAGGTGATTATTGGTGAAAATTTGATTCTTCTTCTGTAGGTTCTATGACTAATATGGCTCTTCGAAAGTTTGTTTATGGTGATACACCTTCCATTAACTTGAAACGTTCAAGTCTCCCCATTAAGGCGCATAAAGTTTGTTTATGGTGATACACCTTCCATTAACTTGAAACGTTCAAGTCTCCCCATTAAGGCGCATCAACAAACTCGATTTGAAGAACTTGAAACTAACCAGACATCGGAGCCTGATGTAGAAATTGACCTTAGAGAAGTTTATTTTCTTATCATGCACTTTCTTTCATCTGGGCCATGTCATAGAACTTGTGGGCTGCTCTGGGATGAGCTTTTTGAACATCAGCTTTTACCCCGACGATATCATGCTTGGTTTTCTAGAAATGGGATGCAAAGTGGGCATGAAAATGACGATGGCTCGTCATTTCCTTTAAAGTACCAGCACTTGGTGGAGAGGTATGCATATCTCAATTAGTGTTGCATAATTCTTTTAGGCATGAATCCGTGGATATCAAAGCAATCAATTTTGCATTTCTTTAGCTTTGGTTTAAGCACCACAATATGTGTTTTTGGCAGTAAATGCANTTTGGGCCCCACTTTTTTTTTTTTTTTTTTTTTTTTTTTTTTTTTGGTGAATGTTCTTAGATTAGTAATGAAAAACTTATTGAAAGAGAAAAGGGAAAAATACCGTGCTTTTAGTTCTTACTTGCTTCTTCCATTGTTCATTGTTGAATTTGATTCAAAGCATGCACAAGTAAATCTATCTTGTAATGTTATTTTTTCATAGCCTTCCATGGTAAGACTATTATTATGTTGTTGTTACCCTTAAAGGTATTCACATGTCGATAAGGACCACCTGATAAAACTTTTGAAGCAATTGATGCTTAGCAAGGCCTCTCCATCTGGAGGTATGAATGGTGCAATTGCTCCAAATGCAGCTGACGTGCCTACATTATTAGGAACGGGCACATTTTCACTTCTGAGCTGTAAGTGATATTCACTTGCGCCTTTTTTTTCTTTTCAAAGTGTTGTTGTGTTATGCTGTGTAATGGAATTTTTGGAGACTATTAGTGAAGTGTATTTACGTTATTATAGCAACAGTGACTTCTTATTCTGTTTTTGGTCATTATCCAACTATTTACTTGAAAGTTCTAGACTTACCCTTCTATCTTTGTTTTGTGAAGATACTGTTCGTTTATTTTATATGAAAAATTCTTGATCCCCAGATGATAAAAATGAGGGAGCTAGCAAGCCAAGTGGTCCCCCAGCACACATGCGTTGGCCTCATATGAAAGCTGATTCTGTTCGTGGATTAAGTTTGAGAGAAATTGGAGGTGGTTTCTCCCGACATCAACGTGCACCTTCTGTACGTGCAGCATGTTATGCAATTGCTAAGCCATCAACAATGGTGCAGAAAATGCAAAACATAAAGAGGCTACGAGGGCATCGGAATGCTGTCTATTGTGGTAACTCTCTATAATAAGAAACATGAGCTACATTTGACTTGTCTGCTAGTTGATTTTTCTCCTCCTTAGCATGAATATCTGAGATAGCTTATGTACATCTTTATTAATCTCATGGGAATGTGCCTTATTTGACCACATGCCATCAGGAATCGATAAGATATTCAATATTCAGTATACATTTGATAAGGGTACTTGAGGAGGAATAAGTTTCGAAAACCTCTTGCCCTCTCTTTTCCGTTGGCTTGGGGATTTGTGATCTTTTCCCAACAAAACATTGTCTTCCAAGTTTTTAGATATAGAGATTCCAGGAAGATGATCAATCAGTTCTTTCTCCATTTGCTTTGTTGTAAGAAGGCTCTTCTTGTGGCTTGCAGGGGTTGGTTTGTGGAGTGAGAGAAATAATAGAATCTTGAGGGACTTAGAGAATCTCTAGTGATGTTTGTTCCACAATTAGGTTCTATGTTTTCCTTTTGGCATTGGTGTCAGGTTTTTTTTTGTAATTTCTCATTAGATCTTCTTTTGCATGATTGAAATCCATTTCTTTTGTTGGGTTCCTGTAACAGCTCAAGCCCACCGCTAGCAAATGTTGTCCTCTTTGGGCTTTCCCTCAAGGTTTTAAAATACGTCTACTAGGGGAGGGTTTCCACACCCTTATAAGAAATATTTTGTTTCCCTCTCCAACCGATGTGGGATCTCACAATCCATCCCTTTGGGGGCCAGCATCCCGTATTAACAATCGGAGGATTTCATTAGAAATCATCACCATATCTGATGGTGGAGCGTCACTAACTTTTATCTCCTCAAGATTGAATAAAATACCCACAAATACTATCTATCCACCTGAGCTAACCACTGTTTCATATTATTTCTTTGTCTAGCCAATGATTCACTTTTCTTTTAACTTTTTACAGCAATTTTTGATCGCATGGGAAGATATGTGATAACTGGATCAGATGATCGCCTTGTAAAGATTTGGTCAATGGATACTGCATATTGCTTGGCAAGCTGCCGAGGACATGAGGTGAGATTTAATTACTTATAACACCTGACAATTCAGAATTTCTTGAGTAGAGTGTGCTTATATGTTGCTCAATTTTTTGCTTCAAAAACACCTGACAATTCAGAATTTCTTGAGTAGAGTGTGCTTATATGTTGCTCAATTTTTTGCTTCAAAAGGGTGATATCACTGATCTGGCTGTAAGTTCTAACAATGCTGTGGTGGCATCATCTTCAAATGATTTTGTTATCCGTGTTGTAAGTTCACTTAAACGACAGGCTTATTTCTGTTTACTTCTATATTGTTGAAAAATCGACCTTTACTTGTCTTCCCTTGTGGTATGTTATAGTGGCGCTTGCCTGATGGGCTACCAATTTCAGTCTTGCGAGGACATACTGGTGCTGTTACTGCCATTGCCTTCAGTCCCAGAGCTGCATATCAGCTTCTTTCGTAAGGCTGACTCTTTTTTATCTTTTGGNTTAGCTTTTGAAGTTTTTTTTTTTTTTTTTTTTTTTTTTTTTCCCTGAAAAGAAGCATACTTTATATGATGATTTAAAAGTTACAAATGTATTCAAGTTACAAGGGAGGAGTAGAAATGGGATCCTTCTATCCAAAGATTCATCAAAGTTGCAATTTGATGATTAAAAAGTTTCAGATATGTTCTAGTGACAAGGGAGGAGTCAAAATAAGATCCCTTCTATCTAAAGAGTTATCAAAGTTGCAAAAAAGCCCCTCAATTGACAAATATCATTTGAGGAATAGTTAGCAAAAACAAAAGATCGAGAACACTGCCAAAATGCTTTAAACTTGGCTGCATCTCTATCATTGCACTCAAGAAATTTGTGTTAAAAATATCCTTTGGTTTTTTGGACTAAATTCCACATTTTTCCTTATCATCTTTGGTTTTGGACTTGAGCCTGACAACACCACATAGGAGCTGAAAGATATCAATCATGGATTCTTTATTGAACAACCAATACATATAACATATTTTTTTGAAATGGGAAACAGTTTTTATCAATGAAATAATACAACATATTAAAAGATTGGAATATGGGGTTCCAGCAATTCCACGAATCTGACCTGAGGAAAGGATTCCCTTATGAAAAGCTTATGAGCTGCAGTCTAAAAATTAATTTTTGCATATAATCACTAGAAAATGAAACATGTGTACTTTTTGTATGAAATCATTTTGTAGGATTTCTCTTTTTTGTGTAGATCGTCAGATGATGGAACATGTAGGATATGGGATGCTCGGAGCTCTTCTCAGAGTGCTCCTGTGTAGATCGTCAGATGATGGAACATGTAGGATATGGGATGCTCGGAGCTCTTCTCAGAGTGCTCCTCGGATTTATGTTCCAAGACCTTTGGACTCTGTGACTGGTTGGCCATTTTTTTGTTATTATTGATACCATTGATATCTTGTTTTTTTTTAAACTTATTTTGCAATGAATTTTAGCTGCAGCAAGAAACAGCGTCTCTTCCGTGAGTACTCTTCCTCAGAGCCATCAAATATTTTGCTGTGCATTTAATGCTTGTGGAACTATTTTTGTTACTGGTAGTTCTGACACTTTAGCCAGGGTAAAATTACTTGTTTTCTTCAAATAATATCTTATTCTTCTTTAAACCCTTGGATGTTTTTCGTGCGTAGTTTCAAGCTTTGAAGTAAGGATAAGTTCCTATCGATAAAGGTGTACTTGATTAACTAATCTTTATATGATCTTTTATCAAGCAGGTATGGAGTGCCTATAAAGGAAATAATGATAACCCTGACCAACCAAATCATGAGATTGATGTGTTGGCTGGCCATGAGAATGATGTCAACTATGTGCAATTCAGGTCTTATTTTCTTATTGTACGTTCTTTTATATTATTAGAAGTTTCATGCTAATCTACTCTTGCTACATTTCTGCAGTGGATGTGCAGTAGCGTCAAGATTTACAACAACTGACATTGCGAAGGAAGACAATGTTCACAAGTTCAAAAACTCCTGGTACGTTTTGCCACTTCTGGTGGGTAAAAAGACGAGCTAGAAGATATAATTGGGTTATAGGAAATATTGTTGACAACTGCTGATAATTTTGTTTGCTTTTTGCCTGCTTTGTTTTTTAACTCCTATGCTATTCAATTTGAAATTTTGTAGTCCTTGTAATAAGGTTTTAGGACTTCCAAGTTTTATTATCATGCTTTGTCAAAAGTACTTCTCTGACTTGCATATTGTGACCATCGTTATATAGTATTCCTTGATTTTGCGTGACTGTTTTCCATTTCTTGCCCATTAGGTGCATTATTGGGTGAAACCCACTCAGTTCTTCACCAAATTGGTGGATAAGTCTATTGAGAGACCGTCGGTATACATATGCATGATATAAAGATCCATAATTTTTGTAAAATTTGACCAAGGAGCCAGAGGATTGAAAAATTGCTTGTGGATAGAAAATGGAAAATACTTTATGGGTTTAGTAGTTAAATAAGAAAATAAAAGATAGATTGTGCATTTTTCCTTATTTATCAAGCATCTTTACCCTAAGTTAATTCCTTGTTGTGGTTCCAGGTTCACTTACGACAATATAGTTACTTGTTCTCGTGATGGCAGTGCAATTATTTGGGTTCCAAGATCACGTAGGTCACATGTAAGTTTTTAAGCGACACCTTGCCTTTTATGCTGGTGTCTACTCCTTAATTTGGTTGAATAGGTTTCTTTTTTGGGTGTATTTAATATAGTTGTTATATATATCTCTCTCATTTCTATTGACATACCTTTCAATTTTTTGTTTCAGGGGAAGGTTGGCCGCTGGACCCGTGCATACCATTTAAAAGTGCCACCTCCACCCATGCCTCCACAGCCTGCTCGAGGCGGTCCTCGTCAGAGGATTCTTCCTACTCCTCGTGGTGTAAATATGATAATTTGGAGTCTAGACAATCGTTTTGTCTTAGCAGCTATAATGGGTCAGCATTTTCTCTAACCTCTCTATCAAATATATAGAGAGTATGTAGAATACCTTTTTAATATATTATGTTTCCTACTCGAAGCTTGAAAAAAAAAACCATTGATTGTAAATGTGATGCAGATTGTAGAATTTGTGTTTGGAATGCTTCTGATGGAAGCTTAGTGCACTCTTTGACTGGTCATACTGAATCTGTAAGTGGTTTATTTAGTTGCAAATTTTCTGGTAACATGTTCACATCATTTTTTTCTTCAGAAAGTTTAAGAGTGATTTCTGTGAAGTTCTATCTAGTAGTCCTATCTCGTAGTTGTGATATATACATTTCTTCATAAGATGGTCGTGGCATTATATGTAATTTGCACAGTGACATGCGTGAATTACTTGCGAAATATCGTATGCCAAGAATACTCAGTATATGATGATGTAAGGATCATCATCACACTTATGTTCAGGTCCTCACAGTGACATGCGTGTAATTTTTATTTCGGTTTGTGACATGAACTTGAATTTAGATTTTATGACTCATTTAAGCAGACCATCTTTGGTTAAAACTGGCCAGTATAACGAATCTTTAGACTAATAGCCAGGAACTAACATTCCCGAAACTAAGTAATGCAATACCTCACCCTAATTGTAGATCATCTTTTTCTTTAAGCAAATTGGATTGCTAATATATCCGCCTCATGAAATGAAGAAAATAATTGTATATACTAAATAATATTAGCAGTTTCATTTATTGCTTATTGCATTATGAATCCTAAAGATATCCATTTTTCAATTGTAAGTTCTGATAAGATCACTCCATATCCCTGACAGACGTATGTACTCGATGTTCATCCTTCTAATCCAAGGATTGCTATGAGTGCTGGATATGATGGGAAAACAATAGTTTGGGATGTGAGTTTTTGGGTCCCCTTCAGTATTTCGTTTGAAGCCTTTCTATTTCCTACTTTTTCACGAGGACTTTCATTATATATAATGTTATTTGATTTTAGATTTGGGAAGGCACACCAATTCGGATATATGAAATTTCTCATTTCAAACTGGTCGATGGCAAGTTTTCATCGTAAGTTCATACTGCACGTTGCGAAATTGATCCTCATATGCTTGATTCTCTCTAACTTAATGTGAAATTGATCCTCACCTTTTGATATCTGAGCTGATTTTGCATATGTGCATTTGTTTTGTTCTTCATATTGAGATGTTCTTAATGCAATGGATGAGTTTTTCTCTGTATCCCTTAAGTAATTTTTATACTAAAATGTCTTAGTTTTGTTTCTGTGATATAGAGATGGGACATCAATTATACTTTCAGATGATGTTGGACAGCTATATATATTAAGCACAGGGCAAGGAGAATCCCAACAGGATGCCAAGTATGATCAGGTACTTAAGAACATTGATATTTTGTTGAGCTCTGCTTTGTTTCCTTCACGATCCCATATTTTGCTAATGTTTTGAATACTGATTGTCTTGCCTTTACTGCAGTTCTTTCTCGGTGACTATCGCCCACTTATTCAGGATCCTTCTGGCAATGTCGTCGACCAGGTAGGAGAATACTATACGTTGCTATTAAGCATGCGACAAAGCAATTTCTAATGGTCTGTGATGATTATCTTGTGCATGCTTTACGTTGCTATTAAGCATGCGACAAAGCAATTTCTAATGGTCTGTGATGATTATCTTGTGCATGCTTCATACATGTGCTTCCTCTGCTTTCATGCCATCTCTGAAGTCTGAAATAATTTCTTCGCTGATTTCATTTTCCTGAGCTAGGATAGTATTAACCCATAATAAATGTGCACAAGACTGCATTAACCCAATTTTCATTTTCCTGAGCTAGGATAGTATTAACCCATAATAAATGTGCACAAGACTGCATTAACCCAATGAAGAACTTTGGTCAATAAATTATTGAAAAATCACCCAATGAATCAATTCCCCAGCCTTTAACATCATCTTTATATCCATATCATTTGGATGCCACATCCTCCACACACTCAACCAAGCTCTCTTGCTTGCTTAAGGGTCTTCGAGGGCTTAGAGGGCGCTTAGAAGGGTGAATGGTATCATGCTGATTTTAATTCATCTCTTTTTTGTGATTTTCGTTTTTTTTTTTTTTTCTCGGTTACAAGCTACTGGAGCTCTTTATCATTATTATTAACTGTAGTTCGATTTTTATGTAATCAGTTTTCTTTTCTTTTCTTTTGTCGTGTACTTTTATTTTATCTACGACGATATTTTATTATACTGAAACACCAACAATATTGGAGTCAGGAAACTCAACTCACTACTTACAGGCGGAATTTGCAAGATCTCCTTTCTGACTCAGGTTTGTCTCTTACTACTCCAACTGATATTGGTATATGTTTTCATGCAAGATCTCCTTTCTGACTCAGGTTTGTCTCTTACTACTCCAACTGATATTGGTATATGTTTTCAGTTTGGTATTAATTCATTGTGTTTTCTGCTTGTGTGATAAAAAATTGTAGGCATGATACCTTATCCAGAACCTTATCAGACTGCATACCAGCAAAGGCGTTTGGGTGCCATGGGTCTGGAATGGCGTCTATCCAGAACCTTATCAGACTGCATACCAGCAAAGGCGTTTGGGTGCCATGGGTCTGGAATGGCGTCCATCTTCTCTAAAAATTTCTGTTGGGCCCGACTTCAATCTCGACCCAGATTACCAATTGTTGCCTTTGATAGACTTGGACATTTTCTGTTGGGCCCGACTTCAATCTCGACCCAGATTACCAATTGTTGCCTTTGATAGACTTGGACATGTTGATTGAACCATTGCCTGAGATTGTAGATGCAATGGATTGGGGACCAGAAAATGAAGTACAAAGCGACGATACCGATTCAGAATATAATGTCCCTGAAGATTATTCTACTGGTGGGGAGCAAAGAACAAAGCGACGATACCGATTCAGAATATAATGTCCCTGAAGATTATTCTACTGGTGGGGAGCAAAGAAGTCTAAATTCGAACTGCTCAACTGATCCAGAATGCAGCTCTGAAGACACAGGGATCGACGATGCCCCTGCTGATGGTCTTCGAAGATCAAATAGGAAAAAACAGAAAGCAGACGTGAGTATTATATCTTTTTCCCCTGGAGTCTTTGCAATAAATATATTAATTTCCGCCAATAAAGTTTTCTTTCGACCAACATTTCAGATGGAGGTCATGACTTCTTCAGGAAGGCGTGTTAAAAGACGGAATATGGACGAGTATGAAGGTGATATAGTTAGGAGTTCCAGAAGCCAGAAGTCGAAATCTGGCCATAAGCCTTCCAAAAAGAAATCAGCATCTAAGTTGTTAAGACCTCAAAGAGCTGCTGCACGTAATGCCCGTAATTGGATATCATCATTTAAGGGAAAATCTACAGATGGAGAAGATGAATACAACTCGGGAGGTGATTGCTCAGAAAGTGAATCTACGTTAGAAGATTCAGACATCGAGAGCGATGAATACAAAAGGTCATTGCAAAACAGAAATAAGCATTCAAAAGGGAAAGAAGTATTTGTAGATGGAATCGAGGAGACAAAATCTCTTGATGTTCCTGAATCTCGTGTGGATGTTGGAAACCGAAAGAAGTTGATTCTTAAATTCTCCCTTCGGAATCGTTCCTGAATCTCGTGTGGATGTTGGAAACCGAAAGAAGTTGATTCTTAAATTCTCCCTTCGGAATCCGAATAAGGTCGATCCTCCTTTAAACACAACACTTACTTGTTCCAACATGGCTGTTGTGGCTAGCTCATCATCAAGGTCCCCAAAGGAAGATATTGAAACCAGTCAGATTCTTATGAGATCAGAGAGGCAATTTGGAAATACGGTCCCCAAAGGAAGATATTGAAACCAGTCAGATTCTTATGAGATCAGAGAGGCAATTTGGAAATACTGATGGACATTCTGATCTGACCGAGGTCTACACAAATGGGAACATAAGATGGGGAGGTTCCAGGGTTCGTTCATCGAAGCGCATAAGATTAGGCGAAACTATGCCTTCTGAGGCATATGCTGCAATGTCTAGTTCGCTTCCCGATGGCGATCATAATGAAAATGAGAACGACGTTCGTGAATCTTTAGAACAAGAAAATCATTTTGGTACTCCATCCCCCCATTCAAAGATGGAGAATTATTGTGCAGAGAAAATGGGCGATGGGGATGATGATGCTTCTGGGAAATCTCAGGAGGTTGTCAACGGTGGAGACGTTAAACGTGTCAACAGTAAGTCGAGTGATCATGATGATTCAAATAATTTGAATTTAATGTTTCCTTCAGATGCAACGACCACATCGGTTCAAAATGGGAGATGATTCAAATAATTTGAATTTAATGTTTCCTTCAGATGCAACGACCACATCGGTTCAAAATGGGACCACTGCTTCTGAGCAAACTGGAAATATTGCACCAATGCGTGCAAAGATCAGGTTGAGGAGTGTTTCTTTGGACCCTGAACATTCTCTGAAGCACAAAATAGAATCCTTGGATGAAAGCTCAAAGAATGATGAATACAATACGGTGTTCGGAAGCCCTCGGCATCTGAATGTGCTGCAGGAGGATGTCATGAATGGAGCTTATTCTGATCATAGAAATGATTGCCCACAAGATATAGATACTCCAAATGATGAAAAACTAATGTCAACCTTGTGCAACTCTGATGAGTTGCAAGCAGTAGAGACTAACAAAATGTTCACTGCTGTTTATAGAAGATCGAAGTCAAACAAAGGAAAGAGTAATGCAGAAAGCAACGGTTGTGGCTCAGGTGAAAATGCTTCGGGCAACATTAGTCTACCTGCTGAAGCAGACAGAAAGCAACGGTTGTGGCTCAGGTGAAAATGCTTCGGGCAACATTAGTCTACCTGCTGAAGCAGACGATCACAAAAGTATGCCTCGTAAGACACGATCTTTGAGGTTTAAGGATGCCTCATATGAACTAAATAATGTGGGTGATGATCTTAAATCGGACAAAGATCAGGAATCTGAACATAGATCAAGACGTTCTGCAAATTTTTCTGCAAACAGATCCCATATACCAAGTGAAGAGTGGGGATCAAGCTCAAGGATGACAGTTGGATCGAGATCCACTCGTAACAGGAGGAGTAGTTTTACTCAAGACATAAATCCTGTGGAAAGAAGAAGGTCGGTTCAATATGCCCGAAAAGGATCGTGGTTAATGATGCCCGCACATGAGGGTGGCTCCAGATATATACCCCAACTTGGGGACGAAGTTGCGTATTTGAGGCAGGTAAGTGATCATGGATAGTATTGTGCTGCCTGATTCTTACATTCCATCTTTTACTGAATGTTACTTTCCTGACAGGGCCATCAAGAATTGTGCTGCCTGATTCTTACATTCCATCTTTTACTGAATGTTACTTTCCTGACAGGGCCATCAAGAATACATAGATCACTGTTGTACAAATTACTGTCACACAAAAGACACCGGACCTTGGACCTCAATCCGAGGACCTGTACGAGCTGTTGAGTTCTGTAAGGTTGTCGAGCTTGTTTATTCTACTTCTGCAGGTTCTGGAGATAGTTGCTGTAAAATGCTACTCAAATTCATAGATCCTACTTCCCATGTCTACCTCCAATCTTTGAAGTTAACTCTGCCCGAGTTGACTAGTTTCCCTGACTTCTTAGTTGAAAGAACTCGGTTTGAAGCGGCAATGCAGAGGAATTGGACATTCAGGGATAAGTGCAAAGTGTGGTGGAAAAACGACGTCGGAGTAGATGGTAGTTGGTGGGATGGTCGGATTGTCTCCGTGCAGGCAAAATCTTCGGAGTATCCAGAAAGTCCTTGGGAGAGGTACACAATTAAGTATAGGAGTGATCCTGCAGAACCACATTTACATAGTCCTTGGGAGCTGTATGATACTGTTACTCAGTGGGATCAGCCTCGAATAGGCGATGAAAACAAGGCGAAGTTGTTAACTGCCTTCGACCAATTAACGTCGACTTCTATGCAGGTAGTCTGCTTCTTCAAGGTTATTGTGTTTTCTGTTTATATCCTTTTGATGGGTATAACCTGATGTTGTCCTTCAAATCTCAGGGTCGTTACGGGATTCAAGATTTGATGCTTCTCGCACGAAAGACACAATACAAGAACAGGTAGTTTCATGAATCCATTTGCTATCAATTTCTTGATCCATCTTCCGAGAAACTTACTCCCCAGACCCGTATATACGGTATTTGAATGTAATTTTGGCCTCTTGTACATGTATGAATAGGTTTCCTGTACCATTGTGCCTTGAGATAATCCAGGAAAGATTACAGAATGATTACTACCGAAGCTTGGAAGCTTTGAAGCATGACTTCATGGTAATGCTATCAAATTTCGAGTCATTCGTGGCAAAGAATGAAGACATGTCGAAGAAAATTAGACGATTGTCGGACTGGTTTAGTCGCAACATATCACCTTTGTAGATTCTTGTAAAATACGCCTCTTAGCATTCTAAGAATTTTGGTAGAAATTATTGGCCAATGTTAGGTTGAAGCTCACTTGGGCTATTTATCTTGATTGTAGATAATTCTTTTTCCCTATTTGATCATATCAATGCCTTTCATTCAAATCCTTAAGGAAATTAGAGAGGGAAAGATGGGGTGGAGGTGCCATCTTTCACCTGGATTCATTTGTGTATACAATACTCTATCTTTCACATCCACAGCAATAACAAATGAAAAATCAGTATTCAGCACTCCCAATTGCTCCGGTGGTTGATGCCTACAAATTAAGACCAATCTTTTTGTTCAATATTTTTTTAGTATGTCCATAGGTAAAGGGTTCAATATATATCAGAACTTTATGGTAATGATGATGAAATCTTCATAAAAATTAAGATCTATAAAATAAAACTTGGTTGAAGTTCGTAGTCCTCATCAACCCACATTGACAATCAGTACAATTGTACACCACATGCCAAAAAAGACGTCTTTAAGCATAAGATTGTTAAAAACACTTGATGACATACCAAGAGTCAATAAAACTTGGATTGCATGATGTAAACATATGTTCAGACATCAATCTCTCCACCTGTGACCACAATTTGGATTGCAGCAAACGAAGAATAATGTCATACCTTCCTCCCCTCTGGCAGTGGCCTGCATACAATTATGCAATGAGATCATGGCTAGATATAAGTATGAACATGATGAAATGATGCAAATCAAAATTGGTAACCTCTAGCAGCCTACAAAAATCCGACAAAAGAAGACTTTACATTTCATTCAAGAAAACCTTACCGGCGGTATTCACAACCCAATTAAGATAATGATGTGGCATGTAATTTAGAACAAACTACAACTTTTGGGAGTAAAGAACGAATGAAGCATGGGTTGGAAAATGTAACACTGATGAAATCAAGAGAGGGAAGAAGAAAGCTCAAGCCTAGCAACACAGAGTTAGGAAACAAAAAGGAAGTGAACCTGGAAGAAAACAGCTTCTCCATGGTTGCATTGAGCACATCGGACAGCTTTTGTGCGAGGGAGCGTTGGATCCGCAGCAACATCTTGCAGAACTTGAGTGCGTTCCCCTACGGCATGATGAATCTCATTCCTATAGACACAGTTATTGTCAGCAACTTCCTGCAAACAGAAATTTAAAACACAACATGAGAATTAATGGTCAGAATAAGGGGGAAGGAAACCATCAATTCCTAGAGATTAAAACATGTCAATACAAGGAAGGGGGAGTATCAGTAAGTCAAATCAGAAGAAAAGAAGGGAGGATATTGATCTCAGTGTACAGATACAGGTCTATCTTCCAGTAGGCAAATATAAAAGCTACTCGGCTACAAGAAAATAGAAAGGAAGTTTTCAACAATGATCCATCAGGAAAACATACATTGACTAGACGTAGAGAAAATATGCAACTCAATTAGTAAAGAATTTCAGAACGCAAATAAATTCAAAAGAACTGGGAAATCAAAAGCCACCCGTGAAGATTAACTTCAACAATTCCACGACCTAAGGGAGTGAGTTAACACTAATATCAATGAAAAAATGGCCCAAACTTGCATCGTTCAAAATTAAATTAGTAATACCATCCTAATAATTTTATAAAGGCTGAATTAACCGTCAGCACAAAAGTTATATTCTCTCACCTAGATTAAATGAAACGAGTAGCTGTTTCTACACATTTGTCTATATGTATATTCTTACTGATGGACATGCATATCTCCCACTAAGAACTGTAAGGGACCCGTTAGCATGCCATCAAAAGATGAGAATTAGTTAAATCATAATCTTCTTAAATTTTTCCTTCTTGAAAACTATTATACCGAAATGAACTACAAAAGCAACCAAGAACAATGGGAGTATGTCCTTCAAATTCAGAGAAGTTTAAGCTAACAACAGAGATGATAAGACGACAGGAACACTTAAACAGGGTGACGAGTGAAAGTGACAACCTTGAGTATCTGAAGGCATAATCACGAATCAGAACCAAATATCGTTGTCCTAGGTTAAAATTACTATAAAGCAAGGCAACTCACATCCAGAAGCAGAACGATATTTGATTTGAACTACAGAAAGAAAACGATAGCAAAAGGTTTCACCAGAGACCCAACAAATATATAGAGAGAACACCGTACTCGCAAGTCGTAAACTATTGAAAAGAAGGAGTTGGTTACCTGGTGATCACAGTTGCGACACGCATAGAGAAGAATCTTCTCATCCCTATCCTCCTTCGGATAGAGAATGTTGTTACTGCAACATAAGAATTTCCATATTCTCAATATTTTTCAACAACTAAAACTAATCAACACAGTAGAACAAGAGCCATATGCGACATTAAACCCTAACACATACCATTCCCGGCAAAACTTCATGGTACTCATCTTGCAGAAGATAGAAACACAAGAAACCCAGAACTAATACAGATCAACTTTCAGCTAGGGTTTTAGCAGCTGTTCAGCTGAAAATCAGAAGGAATCTGCGCAATAATCAAACGCTATTTTCAACAGAAAGAAAGAATTTGAGGAGTGGAATCACTGTAATGCTCAGTTAACGCATCTATCTGTAATCGGCTGCGGTTCTAGAAACGTCGATCAGGCGAAAGAGAAGAGTTTTCTTCCATTGGCGGGAGAAAGTGGAACTTTGACTGCTTACAGTTCTTGTAAATGGGCTTCGAATTCCGGAACTCAAATGATACTTTACTGGGCCAACAAATGGCCCAACTCAAACATAGGCCCAAATGCCATAAGCCCAAAATAAATTTAATGGATAAATGGCCACTATATATTAATATTAATTAGAACCCCTTAAATGAATTTAGGAAAAAAAAAAAATTTAAATTCAATGCACAAATTATCTCGTCTTTTGTGCATTTGAAAATATTTGGTTCGAAATCGGTTACACTTAGTGGTGTGGTGTGTTAATGTTGTTAAAATGTATATGTTTTGCTACTAAACATCGAGTATTACTACGACACTCTTAGCTTCACTAAACCTAATTACAGTGGTTTATTCAATTCATCCCTATATAAAGTCAAACGAGCAACAATTTGAGTAGGCCCGAGATGAATATTACTCTTAAATGAAACAATCGGCATCTTAAAGTCAGGGTAACGACAATTTTCATACCATCTTCCATTGTATGGTATACATGATATGTCAGTGTTTTGATCAATTTTTATAAAGAAAAATGCTTACAAATCTTAGGTGTAGATCAACGTTCGACTGAACCACTATAACTCGTGAACACGCTTTTTTTTTTTTTTATCCCTCTTCTACTCATGATTGTGTCGTTAGTTATAATATTTATTTGTCGTCGTTGTCATCTTCTTCAATCATCACCTGTCATGTAATACAAGAAAAAAACTTACATTCTAAAAATACTTTTAAAAGAGATAAAAATGAGTCTACAGATGCACCGATCATTAATGATTCTAAAATCACAAAGACAATGCTACACAATAAAGTACCTATATGCGAACGATTAATTTCACGTTAAAAGTTCATGCATGTCATAGTAATAGATCTTGCTAAACACTCATGGCACTCGTTGAATTACAAATAGTGTACCGTTTTCCAAGCTTAAGACCTAAGAACACAGAATATAGCCGATCATCTATGGCGTCTAAATATTTAGCAAGACGGGCTTACCTAAATTCCACGAGGACATGCACTTGCTGTTGAGAAACCAAGATATTGAACAACGAACGTTTGCTTGCCCCGCTGTAACATTCTGATCTCGTTCGTTACCCTTATCTGTTCAGCTCATTTACAAAGTTCAATAAAATGATAACAAGCAACTTCAATCATAAGCAGAATTAACCTGTTATCTCATCTAAACTTAAATTTACAGTTAAAGATAAATGAGAACAAACGACTAAATGTGTATATTCATAGCTACCTTTAAGAACTAAATCCCCTAAACTAAAAGAGAGAATGATATGGGGCAAAATTTTATGCCCTTTTTCTAAAAGAGTTCAAAATCTGAATCAAACTAAATTATAAGCTATTTTATGCCCGAAGGGAGGGAGTGGAGTAGGGAGAGTGACAAGGAGAGTAAATAGAGATGGAGAAGCGAGGGTGACAATGCTAGCCAGCAAAATTAATATGGCCAAATGTTTTACAGAGTAAACATGCTAGAGGTAAAATTGAGCGAGTACCGCTCAGTCGCACTATACAGTAAGACGTCCTCATCTTCGACTGAAACCGAAAGCTCTGAAACCAATTATATTCCCATTCCATTGATTCACTTTCATTCAGGGAGCGTGTTGACCGATTTTCGTGTAATCTCAGAACCAAGTAGTCCCACCACCAAGTGCATCCATGAGTCGAAGATCATAATAATTTGGCAGGCACAGATAGAGGAATGATGCTAATACTAACTTATCGATCCGTTCACAGTCATTTCGGGCGATGATTTTGTTGGTATCAATGGATAGTCGTCCCCGCCCAATTGTTGGTTTTCTGAAGTAACATGCAAGACACTACTGTTGGAGTAACCTTTAGAAGCTGTAGATTTGTTTTCCCTGCGATTTTCCTCATCAGAATTGCTGCTACTGCCATCAGAACTGCTAGGAATAGCAGGATTTGTCTCATGACACTCTTCGACTGAGCTTTTGTTCTCATAAGGCATGCACGAACTTGTTTCGGAAGCGTTTGTTGTCTTCTTACCAGGTAAGACGGCCTGACTCAGTGTGGTACACAAGGAAGCAAGTACACCATCTTTTGGCTTGTGCTTCCTAACCAGTCGTTGCTTCTTAACTATCTCAGGTTCCTCTTGAGGAGCCAACTTCCGCTTATGCCAGAGGACTTCCATTATTTCAATGTCTTTGTCTGAAGTGTCGGGTTGTTTTCTCTGGGGTGGTCTGTAGTCTTCATCGTCTTCATCGTCCTCGTAATCAACTAGACCACCTGACCTAAGACTGAAAAGATAGAACTGCTGTAAGTGTAGAGAATAGAACTTAAAGTGCTTAAAAAGCTATTTCTTTGGGCTTCTTCCAAAAGTGCTTGAGGTAGTATCACATAAAAGTCTTCTTTTTTTTGTTCTTTTTTCAAAATGAGATAGAATGGCAATACCTTACTGGTGGGCAATTTGTAGCAACACCATTGGATAAACCAGGTTGAGATTGTTCGTTCTGTTTTCGAGAAACAGATGCAGATGCAGTATCCTCTTCATCACTGAAACGAGATACATTAATAACAACAACAAGATCCTGATAGAAATGTTATAAATGTCTGAGATAAAG